ACAACAACAACAACAACAACAACAACAACAACAACAACAATACTACTAAATCAAACACTAGTTAGAATATCCCACGCTTCACGTCGCTCCCGCAATGCCTCTGACAAATATGCAACAGTATAATTGTTGTATCTCGCCCACTGCAGGTTAAACGGAGGAAGCGGACAGTTGTCATTCAGCTTCAGATACACAAAGTGGCTTCCTGCTTCAAGAAATAGTATAGTCATCTGATAAGATAACTGTGAAACACCTTCGGGAGCCCAAAGTGGCAAATAAGTCTGATTTCTCGAACTGCTAGCCGACAAGACCAACGCGTTGTAATATGTTGCTACAACCACGCCCACGTCCGTGATCGTCATCCACTTTTGCAGAGGTGCTGGGGCGTTATCCCAATAGGCGACACTCGCCAACACCCGATACACTGAATTACCACCACCGAAATAATCATTGAAGAACGGCGCGTGACTTCTAATACAGGTATACACATCCGAACTAACATCCATCCAATCATCCTCACTGTTCTTGACTGCACACGCCACGCTCCGATAACCACAATTACCATCCCCTTGAACGTCCGTCCAGGTCACAATCTCCAGAACGAGGCAAAAATGAAGTTCTCGCAACCAACTAGGTCGGGGCATTCGTCCCATTTCGGGTCCACTCACAGTCGATGAACGACCACGACCACAACTAGATCTCTCAAAAGATGAACCACGGCCTCTGTTGCCTCTTGATCGTCCTCGTCCTCGTCCTCGTCTCGAATTTTCTTCGCCCGGGTATAATGGCAACTCATGCGCTGAGTCATCCATCTGTGTGGAGTTGTTCCGCGGTCTACCTCTCGAGCGGTCCAGCACTGGTGGCTCATTTATCTCCGTTGCCCCAGGATGCATTCGTTCAAAAACGACATCTGCCACGTCCGTGATCTCAATTTCTGAACGTTCACGCAACTCATCAATTAACCCGTCTAGCCTGCCAATAGCCTGTGACCTGTGATCGGGAACAGAACCAACACTTTCTTCTTGGCCAATATGATTAAAGTATGTTATGTTTCAGTAAACAACATGACAGTAAGTTAAGTATATGTATTTAACCACTGATAAATAAATACCTGCTTGTCGATGTATTGCCCAGATGAAAAACTAGATCCGTTCCATGCTTTTACAAATTTCTCTTTGTATATCAGCCAAGTGTCTTGGAGGTACTCAATCAATTGTGGATGATTCGCGTAATCGTCCACTAAAACTCTGTAATTCCTGTAGAAATCTTCTTCACACACTAATGTTACCAAAGTTTGCCACGGACCGAGTACAAAAGCAAATCCTTGACGCCTACTATTGCCAAAACACTTTGAAGCACGACGCCCCACATTCATGTTAATGTGCCAAAGACATAATAGATGAGGCACAGTCGGAAATACATTCTCTATCGCCTTTAAGAGCCCTAACTCGCGATCAGTCACGAGTGCACTAGGTAGAGTATGTGGGGGGAAAAGTCTCTTCAACCTTTGCAACACCCATGTATAATGTTCTTCATTTTCATGGCGCATAAATACCACTCCAACAGTAATTTTTTCCGACAGGAGTAACACCAACAATCTCCAACAAAGGCAATTTGTACTGATTGGTTTTGTAAGTACTGTCAAGTAGTATAACGTACGGAAACTTACTTAACAATTCGAAAGATAGAGGGTGAGCCCACATCAAATCAATAACTGCATGTGTCGTTTCATCTGTGCGGAACCACTTGTAATAGTTATGCTCCTCAAGCAACCCAATCAAATGTTGCATCACTGTAAGGTCACCCCTAGCTAATTTTCTCAATTTCGCTTTTTCATTGTATATTTGTTTCGAATAAGCATCGAGACCCAAGCCATTTTGTCTCAAGTTAGCCAAAATCTTCTTGGGCGGCACATGACTTTGTGAAAGATCCTTGATAATCTTCGACTCCGCTTCATTCAATGCACTAAGCCCATGCCCAGACATGTATATCGGAATATGATTATGCTTCCCATATACTATTCTGAGCCCCCATCTATCGTCCAACCGCCGCTCTCCGACGATTTGAAAACCACATTTTATTTTTTTGCTACCAGACCTTTTCGAGGACGCCTCTACGTTACTTTCTCGAGGCCCTCCGAACAGGTCACAAGTCAGACACACTTTCTTTATTTTGGGGGCACTTTTTTTAATTAATTTCACGAAAAGAGCTCTTGCAACGGACCTAGCCCAAGCCACTAACTCGTCCCCCGAGTCAAACAATTGAGTTGTTGTAAAATAATCGGTATGATCAACTTCAACTCTAGACGTATTATCCTGAAAAAAACATTAAAAATTTATTTAAAAAAAACAAAAAAAAAAAAAACATTTGAACCGGACGCCCAACTCGAGCGCCCAAATAAGCTGTACACGCCCAAGTTGGGCGTGTGGACCATATTCCGAGTCCCAAGTTGTGCGTTTGGACAATTTTTCGAGTTTTTTCGATCGAAAAGACTGAATTTTTACCTCGTTAGATCCGCTATCACGATCTTCATCCGATGAGCTCATTTGTGTTCGTATATCACACCAACAAGAATGATTTTTAAGCAAATTCTCTTCAAAAGTTTTGTCGAAATCTCTTTTAAATTTTCTTGCATTTTTCTACAAAATTTATAAAAAAAATGGAAAAATATTTTGATTTTTTGCAAGGCATTCCGAAATCAGAATGAATTTTTCATTCCGATTTTTTTAGAACGAAAATTGGAACCCATTTGTACTTCCGAAAAAATTGAAAATTTTCCGAAAAAGCCATTTCCAATCATTTCCGTCAGCGTTTCCACCCTAAACTTGATCGATTGCGGTAACAATTTTAAAATTATTAATATTTTGATCATCACCTATGTATGAACACTTGAATATTTTTCGTTATTAAGAATTATTTAATTTCTTAGTTCCTATTAGGGGTGAGCAAGTCAGACCCATCAACCCGTTGAACCTGTCAAACCCGGTAAAAATCGTCCCTCTGGGACCGGACGAATAGATCCATCTATAGGATTGGGTCCTCAAATGGACATGATCCACAGGTTTGGGTTCAAGACGGGTTCAAAAAAATTTAATACCTTTGAAACCCGTCCCACCCCACTATACAAAACGACGTCGTTTTGTTTATATTATGTAGTATAATAAATTAATAATGTATAATACATGAATAAAGTATCTCTTACATGTCAAAACATATATCTATAACGACGACATCATCTCGTTTTGTCTATGGTTATCTATTTTATTTAAATCTTGTCTTATAAAGGTTTGAATTTAGGTACTCTTTTTTGGATTTATGGTTAAAAGGTATTAATTTTGATCTCGTGACATTTATCATTGATGTTATTCACGTTTGTTTCAATTTACTATTTAACGCTTGGTCATTTATTTTAATTTCTAAAAGTTTCGCGTAAAACTTATAATTTATTAAAGAAAATAACTTTTTAAGTTACGATGGGTTTCGACCCGTGAACATTGGGTTCTACTTGAAACCCGCAATAGACCCGTATATCCTAAATCCGTTGAAAACCCACAAATTTGATTCCTTAAAATCAAGAACCGTTGATTGACGGAATGAGTGCGGATTTTGCTAGAACCCGCAGATTTACGACCCTAGCACACCCCTAATTCCTATATAATAATATATACAAATTCATTTGTTATGTCGAGCATTGAGATGGTTGCCATTAATGATTTATTGGGATTCATAACTTGTTGGACTTGAGGAATTAGAAAAATTATTCCACACGGAACACAAGATCTTAGGCTCCGAGACTTACTAAATCACGTACACAAATTAAAAAATTTCTCCCTTTAAAATTATAAAAGTCTCTCACTACATCTTTTTCTCTATCACTTCTTCTTTATAGGGTATTTATTCTCTCAAACTCACTAACAAAGCAAAAATGAATTCAAAATTTTCGTATGATGATTCTCTTAAACCAGATTTATCATTTAATGAATTCTCTTAAGTCTTAAACATCTTTTAAACATTTTTTAATTATTAACATTTTCTAAATATTTGGTATTGTTTATTAAATATTCGTAAATTGATTAACAAAATTAAAACAATGATTTTGACATTAAATATTAAAAAACTTGGAACACGTTATTAACATTAACTAAACAAATAATTAAAAGAAAGAAAAGGGAAACCGTAAACCACACCCCCAAACCCCACCATCAACTCCCCCATGTCTGTCATGGTTTTTGTGTAATGTTTTTTTTTTTTCTTATTTGTGAGATTTTTCTGTGTTTGATTTTGCCGGAAAATAAGAGAAAACGAATAGAGGTGGGGAAAGAGAAAAGAAAAAAAGAATTTTATTAAAAAAGTTTAGAGAGAGAAATATTTTTAATTGTGTGCGTAATTCAGTAATTTTAGTATGAGATTTAGCATTCTAGTATATCAAAATTAACGGCTAGAAAATAAGCCAAAAATGAAAAAGATAGGATTAGTGAGCAGCTTGATTAAGACATTTAAACACAAGATAAGATTAAAACTAATTATCCATTAAAACCATAAATTTTCAAAAATAGCTGCGGCCTGAATATAATGAATTACGACAGCAGTAATATATGTAAATAAAATCAGGCTCTTGTCTTGTCAGTGAGATATGTATTAGATTGTAGAAAATTTTGTTTGGCCTTAATCTTTTCTTGATTTGTTCCTAAAAAAAATACGTAATTAAAAGGTAAATTAAGTGACAAGATATGTGTGCTTATAAATAGAGAGGCAACTCAAAAGATGATAAGCAGGTCATTACTCATTCATTATAATATTATAGGGTAAATTACAACCACCCCTTGAGGTATGGTCAAATTACAAAAATACCCCTCTTGTTTGGATAATTACAACCACCCCCTCAACTCCTCTAATTTAGTGGAATCTTGGAGATTATGTGGAATATTATCACTTTTGTACCCGTTCTATCTCATTCAAACTCTACATTATGAAGCAAGATGATCATAATATGTGATTTTTAGCTTGTATGTATCAGTTTATGGTGCATCGGAAACTGTATTTTTACACAAAACGAGTACAAACTAGAGCACATTTCACGGAATCTAGATGATTATGTTGAATTTGGCACCATAAGGGTGGAGGTGTAAGAAAAAATCATAGTTGAGGGGGTAGATGTAATTATCCAAACAAGAGGGGGGGTTTTGTAATTTGACCATACCTAGGGGGGGTGTTTGTAATTTACCCTAATATTATATGATTGATTCATGCCAAGCCAATCATAGGATGCCACGTGGATCTATATTCTAATAAAATTTCTTGTTTTGATTTTTTCCTTTTTTTTTCTAAATAAAATTCACGGCACCTACTACTACTACTGCTGCTGCTACTATTACTATTTCTGACGGTAGATTTAGTTACCGCTTAATCCCTTTGGTTAGGAAAATTACATTTAACTCTTTAGATATGTTATTTCTACTACTGTTCCTACTATTATTACTATTCCTGACATTAGATTTAATTACGGCTAAATCCCTTTGGTTTGGAAAATTACAGATAACTCATTAGATATGATATTAGCTAACACTTGATCTATTTCATCACTGTTTTTTTTTTTTTTTTAATTCTAATTTTGAGTAAATTATATTGTTTTTCCCCTGAGGTTATGTCTAATTACATATAAACCCCTCATATTTTAAAAAATTACGAAGACATCCCTTAATGTTTGAGTTTAATAAAAAAAATTAAACTCATTCAATAATATTTTTATTTTTACTAAAATAGTAACCGAATTGCAGTTTGGTTTCTCCTCGTGCCATGATATCTTCACCCGTCGTCGTTATTGCATTTTTATTTGCTAAAAAACTTTCATTTTTAATGAGAAACATAGATTTAAATTTTAAGCTCTGAAATTTAAGCTTATTATCAACTGACATTAAATCATACTTTACCGCTAATTTGTTATAATTATTTATATTTAAGAGTAACTATATTTGTCGTTTATTCATGATATTTTATTAAAAATAAAAATATTATTTCATAAGTTTAAATTATTTTTTTTAGTTAAAATTAAACTTTACGAGGGATCTACGTATTATTATTAAAATATAAAAATATGAGGGGGTCTATATTTAATTGGACCTATCCTCAACGCAATCAGTCAAGGATTAAAATGAAGTTTAACAAAAGTCAATGGTCAATTCACAATGTAGAAAAAGAATAGTCTAAACATACAAATATTTGGAAGCGTTTTAGGGCTCGTTTTTAGTTCATTTTGAGAAAAGATGTTTTGGCGGAGGAATTTGAAAATCAAAGTAATGTTTGTTTATGAAGAACGAAAAATGTCTAAGATGGGTGAATAAGTCTTTTTTCAAAATCTTTATCTTCAAAAGTATTTTGCAAAATATATATCAAAAGAAAAACATTTCTGAATAATGATAACATTTTTTTTGCAACGAGCGTGTGTCAACCAAGTTCCAATTAAGGTTAGGAACAAAGATTCTAGTAGTGATGCAATAAATAAATTGTCAGATCGGGTCACTTCCAGCGTATCACCTAGTGTTTTTTTTTTTTTATCTATTATGTAGTCTGACGAGCAGCCTTTTTCCGTTCAATTACCTCAGATATGTGATAGTAACTATCGGCATTCTCTACTCTCCTAGACCAGAGTACTATATTGGGATCATTCTCTACTCTCCTAGACTAGAATACTATTGGGATCGCCAAATAAATTAAGCATTATAAGAAAGAATGCAACCAAATACACATAAGATAACAAAAATTGAAATATAAAAAGAATTTGTGACAACATAGATATGTGTAGCTACCACCTCTTCACAATTCAACTATTCCATATCAACAACCACTTGCACCAAATATTATGGGCAAATTTTGGTACCATTTTACAGGGTCTTACACTTTTTGCCCTTTGTGACAATGGAGCATTTCAAGGCAATTTCAAATGTATTTGTTGTGCAAAAAGTGCATGCAATAAGATCAACAAGACCACTTGCACCATATATATATATATATATATATATATATATATATATATATATATATATATATATATATATATATATATATATATATATATATATATATATATATAGAAAAATACACAAAAATACATAATCTCATGATTTTGTTTACTAATGAGCCTCTATTGTAATTATCTCACACTATATATACTTTCCTATATATACATAGCTAAATACCCGTCGAAGTCAGAAAATATGAACTTCCGAAAATCACGCGCTACTTTATATATTTCGACAATTAGAGATGTGCGGGTTATACAAACGCTTGCGAGATGGGATGACACTGATTCAAAAAGAATTTGTAGTATTTTTACTATCACAATTTAGTATATACACTTTAGTGTTTAAACTTCAAATTTACACTTACTTTTCCGCAATCTTAATTATTGTAATTAAATAGCATTGAAGAAGGTCGACCCTAATTTTATTCTAACTATCTTTCGTATTTTTATCATAAAAATAAATCATAACAGCTTATCACATCTTAAAACAACTTATCAGCTATAACAGTTCATCTTCTACTTGTT